CGTCGGGCTCTGTGCTGACTGCCAGCTCAGAGCCTGGGGCCTGTTTCAGTCTGTGACTCCCTCTCTCTCTGACCCTCCCCTGTTCACGCTGTCTCTCTCTCTCTCTCCTAGAAGTAAATTAAAAAAACATTAAAAAAAAAAGAAATGATAGCGAAACTTACTAGAAATAAGCAATAGGTGCTTATTACTTTGCTGGGGCAGGGGGGGAGGCGGGGGGGGGGGGGAGTTGACATCCTAGATTTGCTTTCAGGGAAACACATGAAATAACTTACAGGTCCACAGAGTCTTCTGAAAAAATAGGTACAATAAGGTATTTTTCACAAATATTGAGGACGGGAGGCACCCGGAGCCAGTCTAGCAAATTAAGAGACCCAAACAAAAGGGAAGACATTGGCATGCCCTGTCTCTCCCCACAAGGACTCGATACTGCGCCTGTTCCCTGGCCTACGATGGTGAGAAGGGCTGAGTTCCAAAAAGGCCACCACATCCTCTGCCTTCTCCTGGCATTTGGTCCTCACTTCATCATTCGCGTCTCTCATGCTGTGTTACCAAAGCCACCCATGCTTATGAATCATCTGCACTTAGTTCAGTTTCTCCCACTAGACCATGGGTTAGCACAAGCATCTTTTCTTATTTATTTTTGTCTCCCTAAGGGAAATTCCAGGAATCTAGAAGCTTCTGTTTAGTATGTAAATTATAGAGAGACTGCCATTTGCTAACTCAAATGTGACCCCTTTTAGTGCTGGGATGAGGTCATGGATGTTCATTTTCATCTTTAAGGGATGGCTGGGAAGTTAACGGAACTGCCCACGGAGGAGCCATTAGGAAGGCTAAGAAGGGCTGAGGCTCTGACCCACATTTCAGTGTTCAAGGGCTGATGTCTTCTCGCTGACTCGTCCCTTTCTTATCTCAGCCTCTCTTGGCAGCTCTCTCTCTTTTTTTAAATGTTTATTCATTTTTGAGAAACAGAGTGAGACTGAGCAGGGGAAGGGCAGAGAAAGGGAGGCACAGAATCGGAAGCGGGCTCCAGGCTCTGAGCTGTCAGCACAGAGCCCGACGCAGGGCTCGAACCCACAAACTGTGAGACCATGACCTGAGCTGAAGTCAGATGCTTAACTGACTGAGCCACACAGGTTCCCCTTGGCAGCTCTCTTGACTGTTGCTTCTTTTTTTTTTTTTAACTTTTTTTTTAATATTTTATTTATTTCTGAGAGAGAGACAGCGTGAGCAGGGGAGGGTCAAAGAGAGAGGGAGACACAGAATCTGAAGCAGGCTCCATGATCTGAGCTAGCTGGCAGCACAGAGCCCGGCGCTGGGCTTGAACCCACAAACCATGACCTGAGCTGAAGTCAGAGGCTTAACCAACCAGGCACCCCAGCTGTGGCTTCTTAAGAGGGAATTGTTATTCCTCTGTTCGGGTAGAAGTAGCTCAAAATTTATGAAGTCAGCTTTTTTCCCCCTTGCTGCTTTTCTCCAGGGGCTGTGTGTTTATCAGATTTCATTTAAGACAAATATGCACTTTCCATGGGGCACCTGGGTGGCTCAGTCGATTAAGCTTTTGATTTTGGCCCAGGTCATGATCTCATGGTTTATGAGATGGAGCCCCACGTCGGGTTCTGTCCTGGACAGGAGCCTGTTTAGGATTCTCTCTCCCTCTCTCTCTGCCCCCTCCCCTGCTTGCATGTATTCTCTCTTTCTCTCTCAAAATAAATAAACTTTTTTTTTTTTAAGACAAATGTCCCTTTTCCTAAAACAGTCTTGAAGTTTGGCAGCAATGGCCTCTTTCCTATTTTGGATTCCCACGTGTTACTCCTGCTGCAATGTTCCCTTACCTTAGATGATTCCGTTTTCCAATGAGTGGGCTCAGAATTGTAGACTTAACAGCCTACAGCTCAGATTCTACAGCTTCTCACATAATTCAAATGCCTGTGTTCTTTGGCTCTCAATTAATACATGAATGGACCTGCTTCATAGTGATATGCATTCAGTTACCATATTTATTACCTCTAATCGAGAATCAGGTGGGTTGGGGTGCCTGGGTGGCTCAGTCGTTAAGCCTCTGACTTCAGCTCAGGTCATGATCTCACGGTTCATGGGTTCAAGTGCCGCGTCGGGCTCTGTGCTGACAGCTAGCTTAGAGCCTGGAGCCTGTTTCAGATTCTGTGTCTCCCTCTCTCTCTCTCTCTCAGAAAAAAAAAAGAATCAGGTGGGTGGACACTCCTGATGATGCTAAGAGTAGAGCAGTAGAGCAACATTTGTTGGGGGGGGCATTGCTGGTAAGGCATAATCATGCTTTGACTCCAAGTGCTTCCCCCCAAGTGAGTTCCAAATACCAACTAGAATCTCAATGATGAAAATTTGTAAAGCCTTAACCTAATAGCTACGCTGTCATTTGGGGTTACATTGACTTGTCTTTGGCCTTGCATGACACCCCCAACCTTCCCTATCAAAGCACCTGATCCTTTTCTCCATAATGGACACCTGATGTCTAGGGCTCTCTGACCCCTGTGTCAAGGCAGAGGTCCAGATGCTGACCTCTGCTATTTCCTCCTACTCTCCCTCATCTGTTTTCCTGCTCCTGAATTTATTCATGCTTTCAAGATCCTCATGTGCACCCCAGTGCATTCCTCACCCCCCCCATCTTCTCCTCTTCTCTTTGTTCCTGTCTATGCAATTTAAATGGCAAGCTCTTCCTACAGTGGCAGCCTCTTCAGTGGGTAGTGTTGTAAAACAATATAGATCTTTTTCCTCCTTACTCAGAATAACGAATGTCTTTTGTGGTCAGAAAGAAAATTAGTAGCAGCTGACAGCAGAATTTTAATGACACTAAGACCTAATTGTTATTCAGCTTTAACTTTAAATCCTACCTCCTCTTCCACAAATTCCTATTAATTCATCAGCTAAATAATGCGGTTGCTACTAAAGATTCTGACATCTAATTCTCTGCCTGTGCAGGTTTATTGCCAGGGTGAAAAATACTTAGTCTTTTTACTTTCATTTTTAAAAACAAGCATAATGAAAATATAAAATATTGTTTAGGATTTATCTAAGAAGACTTGGCAGTGTCTTTGAGAAATGGTTGAATGGGGAGATATGAATCAAATTTGGAAGTCCTCTCTTCCAGCCCCTTATTCATTATTTGAATAAGTGTGAGCTGATGGGACACGGAGAAGATCTCTCTATATTTTTAACTGTGATCCGTATCCATTTATTCCTTGTAAATGTTAAGGTAAAGGGTAATTTTTGAGATGGCAAAGGATTAGGAATTAGCCCTGTAACGTCCTAAATTGTGATGATCGTCATCCTCAGAAGAGGTTGGGTTTACAAAACATCCCACAAGTAGTGAACTCTATTATTTCCTTCTGAGGCATAAGCCTGCCATTGCGAGAGCGGCTGCCGGGAGGTAGTTGGGGACATTTATAAGCACAGAAGCATTTTCATTTGGATTGAATCAGCAATGGGGGTAGCTGGAAAGTGTAGGAAATGCTGTAATTCTGACCATGTGTGCACCCAGGATTCACCCCTAGGGTACAACATTCTGGGTGTAGTTTCCAGAATGGTTGAATTCAAGTCCAGCTCCATGGCAGAGGTCCCTTCCAGACACAGTCAGCTTAGTTCAGTAACTGAGGCCAGTCTGGGTGTGGACTGAGTTTGCACTTTAGTTACGTTCCAATGCATAGCAATGAACCAAGAGAAGAGACGATTCCTCTGAGACGTGACTAAAGGCTCCAGATGAAAAGGAAACAAATACTTGGGTCCTCCCAAATTCAAGCCAGTTCTCTCATTAACTTCCGATATAAATTATTGCCTAATGTAATCCAGCCATGGGTTTACTTCTTATGCCCAAATAGTAAATGTATCTTTATGGCTGAGTGGTATATAAACAACGTTTAACTCCTGGACTGCTTTTGAGGAGACTGGAAGAACCCTTTTGGCTGCTCTAATTTGCTAGGAGTATAAAATCTTCCTAGATTTTTTTGTTGTTGTTGTTGATCGATCGGATGACTATATTGACAAGATACTGATTGGTTACATGTTGAAGACAACATACAATACAAAATACAGAAAAAGTTGGTTCCATCCCCTCCCACCCCCCTTACCCACCCACCGCCAAATACTCATCATCGTGATTTGGTCAGAACAGGGCTCAGAGCCAGAGGTCAGGGTGACAGGGGCAGGGAGGGGTGGGGGCGCGGCGGGGGAGGTTATGGGCAATGGGTTGGTGGCTGTCACAATAATGCTGTGGTTTCTCTCCCATCTGTGAGTCAGGGGTGAGGGAAGAGCTGCCTCTCCCTTCCCTCGCCCCTAGGGCCTGCCCCACCACCCAGAAGCAAACCCACTCCAAACACAGGAAGGATATGGATGCTCTCGCTGAGTCTGCCAATCAGCAAGAGGGAGAGAAAGGTAACTGCTCCAGCCCCCACCTCCCCACATACAAGGGTGGGGGGGACCAGGGGCACGTGGCTACTACCAGCAGAGGAAGAGTGGGAGAGCAGTAGAAAGGGCTGGAAGTGGGAAGAGCAGAAGATCATATATATTAAAAAAGTGACTTAAGACTTAAATTGAATTAGTATTTGTACAGAAAGGTGCAGGTCGGGGGCGCCTGGGTGGCTTAGTCGGTTAAGCGTCCGACTTTCGCTCAGGCCATGATCTCACGGTTTGTGGGTTCAAGCCCCGCGTCGGGCTCTGTGCTGACTGCCAGCTCAGAGCCTGGAGCCTGTTTCAGAGTCTGTGTCTCCCTCTCTCTCTGACCCTCCCCTGCTCATGCTGTCTCTCTCTCTCTCTCTCCTAGAAATAAATAAAACATTAACAAAATTTTTTTAAAAATAAAAAATAAAAAAATAAAAAAGAAAGGTGCAGGTGGAATAACTCACTCCGGCCTATGATCAAAATTCTATGGAGAAATCATGGCGGACTCCCTCCCCCTGCCCCCTTCAGTGGTAGCCCGAGTCGTTAAGTGCGATTGGTTAGAGTGAGTGGATTCCAGTTGGGTCGCTCAGGCGGAGGAGGTGGGGGCAGTGGGCAGGCAAGGGGGGCTCAGTTGCTGCAGCACTGGCTCCGGCTGGCTGGGTTGTTCTCCTGGAGATCCACACCTCGGTTCCGGCCTGGAGTGCCAGCTGCATTCTGGGGCTCGTTCTTGGGAAGCTTCTTAGCTATCGCCCTGAAAATTTCATTCACGTTCATCGCCGTCTTTGTAGACGTCTCCATGAGCAGCAGACTGTTGTCTTCTGCATAGGCTTGTGCTTCCTGGAATTCCATGGCCTCTTGCTGGCCAGGTCCGCCTTGTTCCCCGCCAGTGCGATGACGATGTTGGGGCTAGCCTGCCTCTGCAGCTCCTTCACCCAGTTCTTGGCCCGTGCAAATGTATCTGTGTTGGTGATGTCATAGACCACGATGGCAGCTTGGGCCCCCCGATAGTACATGGGGGCCAGGCTGTGATACCGTTCCTGTCCAGCTGTGTCCCAGATCTCAAATTCGACTGTTGTGTCATCCAAACAGACCGTCTGTGTGAGGAAGGCCGCTCCTACAGGCTTCTCATAATAGCGATCTTTAGTACTTGGCAGAGGTATTGGTCTTTTACATTATTTTCCCTTTGAAATCTTATCCTAAGAAAAAAAAAAGAAAAAAAAACCAACTTAAGAATTTCCTTTCCCTTCCTCCCTAATTCCCTTGCATCCAGATGAGATCAGGTGTGTTTTCAGGGTGGTATGGCCATAGATTTCCCTGGCATCCAAAGAAAGAAAGGAAAAGAAGGGGCACCTGGGTGGCTCAGTCAGTTAAGTGTCTGACTTTGGCTCAGGTCATGATCTCATGGTTCATGGGTTCCAGCCCCACATTGGGCTCTGTGCTGACAGCTCAGAGCCTGGAGCCTGCTTCAGATTCTGTGTCTCCCTCTCTCTCTGCCCTTCCCCCACTCACACTCTGTCTCTCTCTCAAAAATAAGTAAACATTAAAAACTAAAACAAAAACAAAAGGACTATTTACAAAGCTGTGGGTAGAGTCAAGGAAACCACCAAAGAATACTTTGATACCCAGGGTCTAGCGGAAGCAGGAACTGAAGGACCAAGGGAAGCAAATAATATTCCACAGCCTGATGAAAACTGAAGAGGGTCTCCAGACAGGAACCAGAGTCACAGGGGGGATGCAGGAGGTAGAGGGGAAACTCTGACCATTGTCTCGCCTGTCCTCCCTTTTGCCAAAATCAAGGAAAAGACAAAAGGTAAGGGAGCCAGATGACATCTTCTGCAGGGATCAGCCCCTCTGGGGATAGAGACTGGAAGGGAGCAGGAGAGAAATGGAGACTAATCAGTGTCCATGCTTTACATATTATTAAATTAGTACTGGTCATATGTTTGGTAATGCCTGACCATCTTGTACCGTGGTAATACTCTCTGCCTAAAGAGACAATCTTCATTTCTTTTTTGGTTTTGTTTTAAGATTTTTTTTTTTTAAGTAATCTCCACGCCCAACACGGGACTTGAACTCACAACCTCAAGATCAAGAATTGCACACTCTACTGACTGAGCCAGCCAGGCACCCCAATCTTTGTTTCCTTTGGTAATTTTATATTTTTTAAGGTTATTTATTTTGAGAGAGACAGCATGAGTTGTGGGGGGGGGGGGCAAGACAAAGAGAAAGGGGAGAGAGAGGGAATCCCAAGCAGGCTCTGCACTGCCAGCACAGAGCTCGATGTGGGACTCAGGCCCATGAAGCCATGAGATCATGACCTAAACCAAATCCACAAGTCAGGCACTTAACCGACTGAGCCACTCAGCCACCTTGATGATTTTAAACATTTAGAAATGTAATAGTGTCTTTTTAACAAATAATGTGAGGAAACTGGATGTCCATGTGCAAAAGAATGAAGCTGGATCGATCTTGCTTTATACCATATATAGAAGTTAACTCAAAATGGATCAAAGACCTAAACATAAGAGGTAAAGCTATAAAACTGTCAGAAGGAAACACTGGAGAAAACCTTCAAGACATTAGCTATGACAGTCATTTCTGGGATGTGACAGAAAAGCACAGGCAACAAAGGTACCAATAAACTAGACTAAATAAAAGTTTAAAACTTCTGTGAATCAAAGAACACAATCAACAGAGTGAAAACACAAATGAAATGAGTGAAATATTTGCAGATCATGTATGCGATAAAAGATTAGTATCCAGAATACATAAAGAACCTCTACACTCAATAACAAAACCGAAGCAACCTGACTTAAAAATGGGCAAAGGACTGAAAGATTTTTCCCCAAAGAAGACATACACATGGCCAGTAAACAAATGAGAAGATGCTCAACATCACTAATCATTAGAAAAATGGAAACCAAAACCACAAGGTGTTACAACTTCCCACCCATTAGGATGGCTACCATCCAAAACTAAAACAGATCAACAAAACCCAGAAGATAGCAAGTGTCCTTAAGGATGTGGAGAAACTAGAGCCCTTGTGCACTGTTAGTAGGAATGTAAAAGGATGTAGCCGCTATGGAAAACAGTGTGGCAGTTCATTAAAAATTTCAAAAGAGAATTACCATCTGATCCAGCAGTTCTACTTCTAGGTACATATACACAAGAGAGATGACAGCATGGTCCTCACACATCCATGTTCAGAGCACCGTTGTTCACAATAGCCAAAAGACGGAAGCTACCCAAGGGTCCACGGACAGATAGATGGATAAGCACAGTGTGGTCTGTACACCTAATGGAATATTATTCAGACTCAAGAAGAAAACTTCTATACATGCTACAACATGGATAAACCTTGAGGACATTTTGCTGAGAAAATAAGCCAGTCACAAGAAGATGTAGATTCTATGATTCTACTTCTCTGAGGTACCTGGAGGCGTCAAATTCGTACAGATGAACAGTAGTTTCCAGGGGCTGGGGTAAAGGGCAAATGGGGAATTACTATTTGCTGGGTATAGGGTCAGTTTTGCACAATGAAGAGAATTCTGGGGGATGGATAGTGGTGCAGGCTGCGAATATAATGTAAATATACTTAATGTCCCTGAACTGTATGTACACTTATAAATGGTTCTGGTGGTGAATTTTAGGTGCATTTTACCACAGTTTTTTAAAAAGCTGCGGTATGAAGAACTCAGTACCTAAATAGTTAAAATCAAGTTTCTCCAACATGATTTTTATGCCAAAGAATTTTATAAAAGCCATAAATCACTTCCTGAGTGAATTCACAATTGAGATGGACTCTGAGTAACTTGATTCGGTCCAGAACAAAAATCAAAACATGGCAGAGTCAGAGCTGCTTGAGGGACCTCAATAATTAATGAACTTTGAAAAATACCCTAAGCCTGTACTCATTTATGATGAAAATACTATGCATATTCAGAGCTGTTTGTATCTGCAAGGCTCTACAATAATAGATGAATAATTCAGACACAGATTTGCTCACCGGGGTATCTGAGGCCAGCATGAGGCCAAAGGTCACAATGCTGTCCCCTATTCTTCTGATGGTTATTGATTCTTGTTCTCCAGATATGTACTTTGCCAGTGTCCTATGACTCCTAAAAGGCCCTGTGACGTGAAGCCGGGTATGATTTTCTCTGTAGCATCCTCTTTCCACCTTTGAATCTGTAATGTTTCACGCGAAGGGAACAGAATTCTAGAACTACCTCTTGTCTCCTTGTACTTTTTAATGTAAGTGGGGCTCTTTTCATTTTTATTATCATTATTATTACTATTTTTTTTATACACCCTAGACTGTGTAAGACTCCTAGTGGCTTGCATTCTCACAGACCTAAGGAAGTCAAGAGTGCTCCCTCCCCCAGACGGCGGGGCATGAAGTGGAGGGTGATGTTCAGATCATCCCTGAGGCTCCCTTGGCTGGACAGGGCCATCTACACTGACGATAAAAAGGGTGAGATTTGTTCTTTCCTTTTCACAGATCCCAAAGGACTTGGTTTCTGTCCCTTACTTAGGAACCCCTCATAAGTGTTACCTTCTGTGATGGTTAATTTTATGTGTCAACCTGACGGGGCCACGGGCACCCAGACCTTTGGTCAGAGGTTATTCTGGGTGGATTTGTGAGGGTGTTTTGAGTGAGATTAACATTTGAATCAGTAGACTGAGTGAAGCAAACTGCTCTCCCTAATATGAGGGGCAGGGCTCATGAAATCAAGGAAGAAACGAATAGAACAAAAAGGCTGAGTGAGAGGGAACTCTATTTCTCTACTGAGCTAAGACTTGTCTCTTCCTTTGCTCTTGGCCTGGAATGTATATCATAAACCCTCTGAGGTTTCCAGCTCACCAACTTCAGATCTCGGGACTTCTAGCCTCCAAAGTCATGTGAGGCAATTTCTTATTATATATATATATACATATATATATATTTTTTTTTTTTAACACACACATATATACCCTATTGGCCCCATAACATACCTGCATTGTTGGAAAGATCTGCAGCTTCTTTCTTGGTCTTTATAGCAGCAAAGATTTGTTTGGGATGGAAGATAGTACAGTAGCAGAGGCCAGTATGAAAATAATCACTTGAATGAGAGTCACAAGATAAAGACTCTAACCTCATTGTGTTAGTAACCAGTCTGGTGAGACTGTAGGCAATCCAGACACCTTGTGTACAAGTTCACCTTTGCTGCCTTTCAGACCATCCCAGATCTTAGTGGCTTAAAACAACCACTTATTTAGCTTATGCTTCCTCTGGTCTGTTTTTTGCTGGGGGTTTGCTCCTCTGGTTTTTGCTGGGGTTCCTCAGAAACCTTGGGTCAGTGGGCAGGTCGGCTGGTAGTGGATGATCTAGGCTGGTTTCACTGATGTGTCTGGTAATGGAAGGCAGCTGGCCAGCGCCCCAGGGAACGAGCCCCACTGTCGCTCATTATCCAACAGGCCTTTCAGGCTTCTTTACTGTGGAGAAATAGACTCCGCCTACTCATGGGAGGGGCTGAAGGCACATTGCAAGGGATGTGCATCCAGGGATCAGAAAAATGTGTGGCTGCCCATTGCCGGCTACTGGCTTGATGCCCCCAGTTTTACATTCCTCAGACTTAACTCTTCCCATAACCTTGGGAGGTAGGCATTAGGACTAGCTTGGATCAGATCCCAGATCTGACTCTAAAGAAGTCCTATTAGATCCTTTGAATTCTGGAATTCACATCTGCATCTTTTTATTTCTTTGGCACCTTGAGAGTCCAGATACTCCTTCCTGGGACGGGCATCCTGCTAATTTAATTCCAAACACTCATCTGCACATATGTCATTTCGCTCAGGAGGAACGAAACAGCAGCTGCATTCAGTATAATCACTATCGAGCAGTCAATACATGTGTATAAAGCACTTTTTATAAAGCTTATTATGTGCAGGCACATTGGCAAGGAAGGGAGGGACCCTCCGTGGAGAAAGGTAACTGAGGAAGTTTGGCCACGAGATGTAGATGTGCCTACACTACATGGTACGTCAGAGACCAACTGGGCCTTCCTATTTCTCTCTTAGGAAAGCATGGCATGTCTGTGTGTAATGGACTTTGTGTAAAAGCAAGGATTTTACAGTTTCTGCCTCCTCCCCGTGGCTGTCAGAATCTCTTATGAGGCCCATCTCTTCTCGCCTTTTTCTTTACTCTCATCTGCTAGATTCTAAGATATTTTGACACACAAGGGAATTTCTTCTGCTGCTTCACGCACACCCCTCTTCTTCCAAGAAGGCCGTGCCCTCCCTTCTTCCCAACTTTCTGTGAACAGGTTTTATTCTATATCGATTCCTTCTCAGAGCCTCTTCCTGAAACACATCCAGGCCGGCCTCCTTGCCTCAGTTTATGCCACTTCCCATTAGTGGACTCTCCACTCCTCCTCCTTTGTGTGTCTCTTTTCTCCTTAAGGGCTTTGTTCACCTCGTACCTCATCCATGAAGTTTCTGAGCATCCCTATTTGGGGGACACAGATTTATCTCAACTGACAACTCCCGAGGACTGGTGGCCTGCTTTATCTGCCACGAGGAATGAGTCCTGTCTGCCAAGAATGGCGAAGGGAAGGCGTGGTCTGTACCTGCCTCCAAATCCCCCCTCCCTGGGGGCCCGGAAACACTAACGCCAGTTCGGTCAGGTGGGACATACCTTCTCTTGTGTACTTTTAATTCATTTTCTAAATCTCCACATCCTGCTGCCCGTAATGCAAATCTCTTGAATGAGGAGATCCCGATGCATCCCAGTGCCTGAAACAGGACCCTCATACATGGGTTGTATGATCAGTTATCGGTTACCTGAGTGTTTCCTGTGCTTTCCATTAGCCCCTTCATGATTTGCCCTTTCACAAAGCACACTGTTTCAAGCTGGTTCTTTTTCTTTTTTAAAAATTTTTAATGTTTTTTATTTATTTTTGAGAGAGAGAGCGTGAGCAGGGGAGGGTCAGAGGGAGAGGGAGATACAGAATCCAAAGACAGGCTCCAGGCTCTGAGCTAGCTGTCAGCACAGAGCCCGATGCGGGGCTCAAACCCACGAACCGTAAGATCATGACCTGAGCTGAAGTCAGATGTTTAACCAACAAAGCCACCCAGGCGCCCCTGTTTTAAGCTGGTTCTTAACTGGATGAAGTACATTGCAGTGTTTGCAGTGTGTGGCTTATGGTGGGGTTTCTTGCACCGTTCATTCACCTGTCTCCTGTTTGCTCTGCCTTCTGTTTTATTATTCAGTGCCATTGAGATGCTTTGGTTATTAAACCACATGTCTCTCAAACTCTATTTCCTTTCTGCCACCTTCTGGGACGATTTCTTCCTGAATCCCTTCTGGTCTTCTTTGATCTTCTTTTGAATGTCCTAGTCTAACATCCTCCAGTCCTCGTATCTTCTTCCAAAGGATTTCATACAGTCCCATCTGGTTGTCACTTGAACACTTTAATCATTTTGATCTTAGGTGGTTGTAACTGCCCCGATGAGATCCACAGTTCTGTCTGCAAAGGTAATCCGAGCTAGAAATTCTCAGTAACCCTTGTCCAGCCCCCTGTTCAGATTTTATTCATGACCTGATACTTGCGATTCCTTTTCAAACAATTTTTCATTGGCTTGATTTTTCTTTTTTTTATTTTATTTTTTTAAATTTTTAAAATTTATTTCTAGGAGAGAGAGAGAGAGCGTGAGCAGGGGAGGGTCAGAGAGAGAGGGAGTCACAGACTGAAACAGGCTCCAGGCTCTGAGCTGGCAGTCAGCACAGAGCCCGACGCGGGGCCCAAACCCACAAACCGCGAGATCATGACCTGAGCGAAAGTCGGATGCTTAACCGACTAAGCCACCCAGGTGCCCCATTGGCTTGATTTTTCTGCCTTTGCCTGTGAGCTTTTGAGATGATCTCTCCCCAGACTGCAATTTTTACCTTTGATCTCAACACCAGTATTTGATACAGAGTACCTCTTAGTGAGGCACCCTCGGAAATCCCTTTGATATTTACTTAGAACAAATATTAAGTGGCTTAGTCAAGTCCTACCTGGACTTTATCAGGCTCTACCGGCCTAATTAATTACTACCATCATAATCTGGATGCCATTGATTTCTGCAAAGACAACAAATGAAGCCCCTCATTTGTTGTACTGTCTCCCCTCAACTTTTTAAATAATCGTTATGAGGTGCAAAGTGCCTGTCATAACATTTTGAAGGATCCTTCCTCACCATATTGTGTCAAGGCCTCATGGCTTCTGTTTTTTCCCTCTTTAGGCCTTATGGCAATTGAAATTAAATGATTATTTATATAAGTATTTGTTTAATGTCTATAAATAATAAATAAATGATTTATAATATATATATATATTATATCATTAATAGATAATGAACTTCCTTATGAAGAATCGTCTTTTCTTAGAAAGGGATAAGAAAACATAAAAGGGTATGATGTTAATGAATTAAATGATCTCAACTTCAAGGTCTCTCCCCTGTCTCATTCAATCTGAGCTGCTAGAACAGAGTACCATAGACTGGGTGATTTATAGGCAACAGAAATGTACTTCTCCCAGTTTCTGAAGACTGGAAGTGCCTAACAGGAAACATTTATTGATGTTTTATACTCCCTCTCCTCTCCTCTTCTCCCTCTGCCTAATTCTGTCTTCTTTATCTGGTAACATAACTTTCAAAGAGATAATGCCTTCTATGCTGATTTCCACGGTGCCACCTGCAGGTTCTGGTGAAGACCTTCCAGCTCGCAGACTGTCACCTTCCCCTTGTGCCCTCAGATGGTAGAAAGAGGGAGCTAGCTCTCTGGCCTCCTGTAACCCCATTCATGAGAATTCTACTTTTATGACCTAATCACCTCTGAGACCCCACACCTCCTTATACCATCACAGTGGAGATTAGATTTCAACATACGAATTTGGGTGGGGTAAGGTGGACACAAAAATTCAATCCATAACACCCCCCACAAGGTTTTACTAAGGCAGTTGAGTGGAAGTGCAGTGTTTTGATTAAGGATGTGGGCTGGGAAACCAGACCCTCTTCATTGGAGTCCTAGCTTGGCCACTGTGTGACCAAGTAGGTTGAGTGGGTTATGACTCTCTATGCCTATATTACTCATCTATAATATGGGGATAATATTAATCTCTACTTTGTAGGGTCCTTATGGGGATTTAATAAGTTAATATAAAGAACTTATAAGGGCTCCTGGCACATAGCAAATACTCATAAACATTCGTTGTGCTTATGTTTCCATGGTTATTGCTATATCAATGGTGCCTTCTATGGCCTATCCTCCCATTTCCTGATATTCTGTAAAAATTTAAGTATTCCATAAAAACCACCATGAGTTCAAGGTGCTGCCATCTCAAATTCCCGAGAAGCATTGTCCAACCTGTTTTTCCTTACGTAAAATTGGGGAGAGGGTGTAGGTACGTGAAGGGGATAGAGGCACACATTCCTTCTTTGTCTGAGATCTATACTCCTGGGAATGTACTCTCTCCAAATACAGGAAAGAGAGGGTTTGTCCCTGCCTTTCCTTTCCATTGTCGATTACATTATTAGCTGCTGGCCCCAGACTGTTCCACACAGAAAAGTTAAGAGTAAGGGTAAATGATATTGCTGGGGCAAAACTACCTAGTAGCTAAACTGATTAGCACCTTCTTTCAAACTACAGCTCTTGACCCCTTGGATTCTCCCCTCCCTGTAGCCTATTCTGTATGTTCTCAAGAGAGGTGCTCCTCAGCACCACGGTGATAGTACACCACTTTCTCCTTCCTCTCGTCCACAGCGGAAAGGATCCTGGGCTATCACAGAAGACTTTCCTTTCCTGGATTATCATATCCCATTTCCTGCCCAGCCCACTCTACTTCCCTGGTCCCCGAACCCTGAGTCATCCTGCCTGCCCCCAACACACACACACACATGTCCACACACACTAAAATTTTCAGTATCTCACCAAGGCCAGGGGCCCTGTGCCTCACAATTACTTCCTGAGAAACTAATTCGTACTTGTGGAGAGGACAGCGTACTAAGGGTCAAGATCAGAGGCTTTGGATCCAATAAGACCTGAGCTGGAACTTTGGTGTGGACACAAACCATGAGACAGTGCAATCTGCCCAGTGTTTTGGAGCATCATTCTTCCCC